CGGCGGCGGCCATGAAAACCGAGGTGGATCCTCTCGATTCACTTCCTTCTGGCGTTAAACTCCTTCTCAGGCATCTTCATGCCCTGATTCCCAAAAAATTATCGGACATAAATTACCCTACACGGAAAATCACCGTTCTTACAGCCCTTGAGGCCAATTACCTTCTCAAATACGTCGATGGAAGCACAGAACTGCCGCTGGCAGTCATCACCGCCACGGACAAATCAGAAAAAACCAATCCGGCCCATGCCACCTTGAAAGCCGTGGATAGCCAGATCCGATCATGTTTGATTGCGGTCATCTCTCTCACAGTTCAGAAACACGTCCGATCCTACACAACTGCTTCAGCCCTATGGACGGCCCTCGCAACACGCTATGCATCAATTTCCCACTCTCATATTTTTCAATTGCGTGATCGTCTCCACACAATTATTAAAGGCACGAAAACTATGGCGGAGTATTTAGACAAGGTCTCCACCATCATCACAGCCCTCGACACCGTGAACGAAATCATTCCCAAAAAAAATCTCGTGATGTGTGTCGTTCGGGGGCTCCCATCAGCTTACTCCTCCATTAAACAGGCGGTTCGCATCAGTCCAACGCCCTTTGACCTGGCTACTCTCTCCTCGTGGCTAAAAAGTGAAGAAATCAACATGGATCTGGAGAGCAAACTTCTTCTCCGAGAAGCCGCTGTTATGGAGCCGGCCACCGCCCTCACCGCAAGCAAGAACTATCGCGGGGGGCGTGGTGGCGGCCGACAGGGGATCCGCGCAGCGGCGGACAGTCATCTTCCAGCGGCGGGCAGGGCACTTATGAGCGGGATCGTCCAACTTGTCAAATCTGTCAGAAAACAGGACACACCACTGTTCGTTGCTGGTTTCGGTATGAGGAGAGCCAAAATAGTGATAACCGTGCCAATTATGCATCTCAAGCCGGCCCTTCCTCTAAATGGCTGTTGGATACTGGGGCCAACATGCACGTTACTTCTGATCTATCCAAGCTTAACGCTCCAAATCGATATCATGGCTCCAATGGTATTACTGTTGGCAACGGTGAGTCCCTTAACATTTCTCACACTGGCACGGGTACCATTAAAACCCCCACCACTATCTTTCACCTAGGTAACCTTACCCACGTCCCTTCTATTAAAATCAATCTCCTTTCAGTTCACCAATTCACAAAAGACAATAATTGCTCACTCTTGTTCACCTCTAATGATTTTAAAATCCTAGACAATACTACCAAGAAGGTGATTTTTCAGGGCCCCTGTAAGCATGGTCTGTTCGTTCTTCCTGGCACAAGTTCGTCTGCCCACCCAGTTTCAGAAAGCGTTCTTGTGGCTCTTTCGGCTGATGGCCACAGTCTGTTGTGGAACAGTCATCTGGGTCACCCGTCTACTCAAATAATAAATTCTTTAATGTCTCAATATGGTTTTTCTCCCATTCATGTAAACAATTGTGACTCCTGTTCAATTGCTAAATCTCATAAATTACCTTTTACTTTATCTGAAAAGCGTACAACTGCACCTTTTCAACTTATTCATTCTGACCTATGGGGTCCTACTTTTGTTCCTTCATTTGCTGGTTTCGCTATTATATTTGTTTTGTGGATGATTTTACAAAATACACTTGGTTGTACCCACTAAAACACAAATCACAGGCATACACCACCTTTGTCACTTTTGAAAAAATGGTCAAAACACAATTCAATTCTCATGTTAAGCTTTTTCGAAGTGACAATGGAAAAGAATATGTAAATAACATCTTTGGCCAGTTTCTGCAATCCTTGGGAATTATTCATCAAACCTCCTGTCCATACACTCCTGAACAAAATGGGGTGGCTGAGTGTAAGCATCGCCATCTCATTGAAACGGTGGTTACTTCTCTACATCAATCTCATCTCCCTGTCTCGTTTTGGGTAGAAGCTCTAGCGAACCCCAAACTACCTCATTAACAGAATGCCCAGTCACACCCTCTCCAACAAATCACCCTATCAACTCCTTTACCAAGAACTTCCCAATTATACCAACCTCCGCGTCTTTGGGTGTCTTGCCTACCCTTGGCTACGCCCTCATATTACTCACAAATTACAACCCCGATCCCGTCCTTGTATTTTTTTGGGCTATCATCCTACCTCCAAGGGTTATCGCTGTCTTGACCCACAAACTCATAAAGTCTACATATCTCGTCATGTCAAATTTGTCGAAAATGAGTTTCCCTACGAGTCTATTTCCTCCTCCACAAAAACATCATTCATTGGCATCATTCCCCTTTTTCCAACATACTCACAGGGTCCTTCACCACCTTCCCCCACACCTCCACCCACTACCCAACCACCCTTCATCACCCCTTCGACCGTCACCCACAATACACCCGCAACCACCACCCACACTCACAACCAACCCGAACCACCCCATACCCACAACATCTCCAGCCCGATCCATTTTGGGTCTTTCCCGGCCACCCTCGAATCACCACCGCCCATGCCACCCCCCAATACTCATCCCATGTTAACCCGTGGAAAAGCCGGTATCTTTAAACCCAAAACCTTTCAGGCTACCATACTACCAAATACACCCCTTCCCGATAGTGAACCAACAACCTACTCTGTTGCCTCAAAAAATGCTTATTGGCGTCATGCTAAGGATGACGAGTTTAAGGCTTTGACATCTCAGAAAACTTGGGTTCTTGTACCTAAGCTCCATGGGCGGCACCCAGTGGGCTGTAAATGTATGTACAAAATTAAACACAATGCAGATGGAAGTATTTCCACGTACAAGGCTCGTTTGGTTGCTAAAGGCTACAATCAGGAGTATGGGATTGATTACTCCGAGACATTCAGTCCTGTTATTCGGCAGGAAACCATTCGCCTGGTACTGTCACTCGTCGTGTGCAACAATTGGCTCATTAATCAGTTGGATGTTTCCAATGCTTTTCTTCATTACATGCTTAATGAAACTATCTACATGACGCAACCACCGGGCTATGTTGATCCCCGCTTCCCTAAACATGTTTGCAAACTCCAAAAGTCTCTGTATGGGCTCAACCAAGCCCCCCGTGCTTGGTACACGTATGAAAACGTTCCTCCAGGGATTCGGCTTCACGTGTTGCATACACGACACGAGTCTGTTTACTCGACATTCAGCACACGGTACAGTCATTCTTCTTGTCTATGTAGATGATATCATTATTACAGGCTCTACTGCAGCTCTCATTCAGGATGTCACTCGAGCTATGCATACTACCTTCAAAATGAAGGACCTTGGCCCGTTACATTATTTTCTGGGAATGGAGGTTTCTCGGATTACATTATTTTCCTGGGAATGGAGGTTTCTCGGACAGGCAGTGGCTTGTTTCTTCATCAGTCAAAATATGCTCGAGATCTGTTGCAGAAAGCTAGACTGGAAAAATGCACCAGTCAACCAACACCGATGGCAGTCTCTTCGTCTACGAATGGAGCCGACACCCCCTTTGCCAATATCACCCACTTCCGCAGCCTCATTGGGGCTCTACAGTATCTGGCCATTACCCGTCCTGACATCCAGTTTGCTGTCAACCGAGTTGCTCAGCGCATGCATCAACCAAGTGAACATGATTATCATTATCTAAAACACATTCTCAGGTACATTTTTTGCACTCTTGGTCGTGGTTTACTCATTCGACCCGGGGACTTGGAGCTTCGGGGATTCTCAGATTCAGATTGGGTGAATGATAAAAATGACAGAAAATCTATATCGGGATTTCTCGGTTTTTTGGGGCCGAACCTGATCTCCTGGTGTACAAAAAACAACCCAAGGTCTCTCGGTCCTCGACTGAAGCTGAATACCACGCCCTTGCTCTTCTTGCTGCTGAGACCATGTGAGTCACATATATTCTTTGTGAACTCCGCGCCACTCACACTGTTCCTGCTCTCTCTCCTATATATATCTCCCATGTATTCCCTTAACACCTCAATACAATCAATATTCCTTCATAAACATTTCAACAGATTAAGATAATATCATTTTGCTATTATGTACTCCAACTATGCTATGGCTATTTTGTAATGGACGTATGGTGCAAGGTTGATCTCACAAAAAGGATATATTGGTGTTCAAGTTCTCAATGTTTTCGACGCCAAGCTTATCCATTAAGTGGTAAGCGATTTACTTTTTAAGGTACACCAATTTAACTATGCATAAGTTAGAGTGTGATTATGCTAGATGCACTTAGTGTTCTTATAATAAACTAATGATAGTAAAAGTGTAATAATTGGACAGATCTTCTCAAAGCTTGTAGTACTGTACTTAACATGTGCAATGGGGATAATATACTCAGAAGGGGAAGAGATGAACCAGGGTAATACTTATATGTTTTTCTATTTTTCCTTTTGGTTTGATCATTCCTTCTCTTAAGTACATGAAAATAGGGGCTGCAAAGTTAGTGAGAGACCTCGTTTCATGTTGTACTTCAAGTTCCCTTTTATAATTTACTAATGGTGTTTAATTTTTGTGACTAATAATTTAGTCATCCTACTTCAGAGATAAACCAATTGGTCTGGGCTTCCTAGCTTTTTCCAGTTTTTCTACCTTGGTATTGGTTTTGTATCCTTTGAGGACCGGTGCTTCGACCAAGCACCACTGGTCTCTTGTAAATTTTATTGCAGGACTACATCATTTGATGTGAAAAAATAAATACACTTCACAACTTAAGTTTTCCTAATTTATATAGGTCCTCTCCCTAAAGTGGCACTCACGATATCTCTTTGCAGTGTTGTACTTAAAGTATCATATATTCATAATTATAGCAATGAAGTATGGGTGCTTATTTCAGGGAAAAGATTGTGTGTGGGCTATCATTGCTACTGTCTACCAGAAGTTGAATTCTTAATGTCTCTCTATTCGGCTTGAAACATGAAGCTACAAACATTGACCAAGAGTAAATGCTTAAATTTAGACAAAAGGACTATAATACTTAAGGTATGTCATGTTTTAAATCTATTTTATCTTTGATCAAACTCTCAATTCTTTCTCAAATTTGTACATTGGACTCTGGTCAAAGTATCCAATTTGGGTTGACCGAATCCCACGTGTATTCCCCCACCCATCTCGTGTTGACACAAGTGCAACAACAAAAATGAAGAGTTTGCGCAACTTTGCTTAGGCTGTGTGTTCAATAGCAAAATAATTATAATTTACCATAGTATGAACCTTGTTTCCCTGTTAATCTATGTTGCTTTTCAGGCATAATTAAAGCTTGTTTATTTGGTCATTGGTTCAGGTGTAGCAGCAATGTTTTTTATGTTTTAACTAACTAAGTTAAATTTTGTTTGTGTTGATTGTTTTCAAGTATGAATAAATAGCAAAACTTGTTAAAAATTTGTGTTATTTGTTTGGTAGATGTGAGTTGTTAGACGCTTACTAAAGAGCGACAAGCTGCGCTACTAAGGGTGTTGAATTTAAGAAGTGTTCTGCAACAAGAAGTTACATTCTTCAATGAGGAAGTAAATATATAGAAAGTTATTGGGAAAATGTCTGGTGACATTCTTATCACACAAGACGGTTAAGTGGGGAAGATGATGAGGTGTGTAGCAATGTTTACATGAGGATTTTGTATTGCATTCATCGAGGGGTGTCCGCGCCAGCGCAGGCCCAACGTATGTTAGTTTTTTTTCTTCCAATTTATATAATACAAATAAAATTTGAAAAAGCGAACTAATTTTTTTATATGTTACTTTTTCATATAAATATTTTTAATTGTTAATTTATATACCTTTTATGTCATTTTTGAATATTATATGTTACTCTATTTGTTTCATTTTATGTGACACAAGTAATCATAGGAAAATTAATGAAATTTCTTATATAGTTCTCACATACTTTTAGTTGTCATTTTACTGTGATTCATAGTACTTTTTAGTTCTTACGTTATTTTCAAACAATACATACAACTTTTTTTGTTTCGATAAAAATAAGGAAATCGATCAAATTTCATTATGTTTTTCTAAAAATATCTTAAATTGTTATATTGTGTTTTTAAGCTTCTTTTTAATGTAATTTTCAAATATGTAACAAATTAGAAACTAAAACGAAGAATTAAAGTTTTCAAATCATTATATTTCATTTTTAATATATGACTCCCTCCTTTTCGATTTATATGAACTTGCTTTAATTTCATTTCAAAAAGGAAATAACTTCAGAATGTTAATTTTTTTTATACAGAATAGTTAAGATCGCAAAATTAAAAAAATATTTCAATACACAAAATTTAAATATACATATAAATTTTAGTTTTAATTTTGATTAATTTTACCTAATATTATACTTGATGTATAATTATTAAGAGCTACGCGTAATAATAATTTGTTTACTTTTATATAATAAATAGATATCAAAATAACTCATAAACATGAAGAAATAAGAAGAATGAGGTAATACTAATAAGAAAAATAAAATGATTTTCTAGAACTATTTAATTTTCTTGTTATCATTCTTGATAGATTTTATTATAATGAAATTACATTTTTGTTCTTGTTCGTCTTTAATACAAATATATCATCCTATTTATTTTTATTTGTAAAATTACTTAACATTTTTTTCTTTAATTTCAAACTAATATATATTATTAATTTTATCATACTTGTTTATTTTCAAATATATTAATTAGAACCAAAATAAAGATGTAAATAATTAATTCATGACAAACTTTTATATAAAAAGTAAACATTTTTTATAAGCATAATGAATTGAAAAAATATTAAGAATTAAATGAAAGTAATAGTTAGATAGAGTAATAATAAAATAGGTACCACAATAACTCATAAAAGAAAAGAAAGTGAAGTACTAACAAAAATAAGTTAATAGTAATAACGATAACTTAAGATGTTTGTAGACTATTTAATTTTCTTGTAATCATTATTGGTAGCTTTTTGTTAGCGTGAAACTACGTTCTTGCACTTGATCATTATTCACTTCATATTTTTCTATTTCTACTATATAGAAGAGTGAAGAGGGAGGACGACCAAGGTCAAATATGTAATTTCATGCTAACAAAAATTTATCAAAAAAATAATAAATGATTCAAGAAACATCTTTTTATTTATAAAGTTAATAATGATCAAGGGAAAAAATATAATTTCACACTAACAAAAATCTACTAAGAATGATAACAAGGAAATTAAATAGTTCTAGAATCATCGTAAGTTATTATTATTACCATTAACTTATTTTGTTATTGTTTCACTTTTTTTGAGTTATTATGATATCTATTTATTATTACTCTAGTTTACCATTACGTTTATTTAATTCTTAATATTTTTTATATTCATTATTCTTATAAAAAAATGTTTACTAATTTATCATGAATTAGTTATTTCCTTCTTTATTTTGGTTTTAATTAATTTACTTGAAAATAAATACGTGTGATGAAATTAATAATATATATTAGATTAAAATTAAAGAAAAATAAAAAATTAATTTTACAAATAAAAATGAATAGGATGATATATTTGTATTAAAGATTATCAAGAAAAAAAATGTAATTTTATTATAAGAAACATCTATCAAGTATTAATAATTCTAGAAACATCATTCTATATATGAAGTGAGTGATGATCAAATGTAAAAATTTAACTTCATGCAAACAAAAATCTACCAAGAATGATAAAAAAAAATTAAATTATTCTAGAAATATTTTTTATATATGAAGTGAATAATGATTAAGGGCAAAAATGTAATTCCACACTAACAAAAATCTACAAAGAATGTTAACAAGAAAATTAAATAGTTCTAGAAATATCGTAAGTTATTATTGTTATTACTTTTTCATTAACTTATTTTATTATTACTTCACATTTTTTTGTGAGTTATTGTGATATCTATTTTATTATTACTTTATTTTACTATTACGTTAATTTAATTCTTAATATTTTTTATATTCATTATGCTTATAAAAAATGTTTACTAATTTATCATGAATTAAATATTTTCATCTTTATTTTGGTTCTAATTAATATACTTGAAAATAAATAAGTGTGATAAAATAAATAATATATATTAGACTGAAATTAAAGAAAAAAATGTAAAAAGTAACTTCACAAAATATTTATATTAAAGACGACCAAGAATAAAAATGTAATTTCATTCTAATAAAAATCTATCATGTATAAATAACTCAAGAAACATCTTTCAATATATGAAGTGAATGATGATCAAAGGTAAAAAATTAACTTCTTACAAACAAAAATCTACCAAGAATGATAACAAAAAATTAAATAATTCAAGAAACATCTTTAATTATTATTATTAGTATTACCTCATTTTTGTTGTTTCTTCATTTTTTATGAGTTATTGTGATATCTATTTATTATATACAAGTAAATAAAATATGATACAATTAGCTCTTAATAATTATATTTCAAGTATAATATTAGTTGGAATACATCAAAATTAAAACTAAACTTCATATGTATATTTGAATTTAGTGTGTTGAAATATATTTTAATTTTATATTCTTAAATATGCTATACTAAAAAATTAAAATTCAGAAGTTATTTTCTTTTAGAAATAAAATAAAAAAAAATAAGTTCATATAACTCGAAAAGGAGGGAGTCATATATTAAAAATAAAAAATATACGTGTTATTATTAAAATAAGTATTCATATATTATTTTAAAAAATTTGTTTGGCTGCCTTATATATATGTGGAGCCAAAAATTATTTTTTAATAAATACTTTCAATATTTAGAATATAGCATTATGATAATTGTTATTGTATATAGAAATAAAGTTGCTTTCTTAATTATTTTTATTGTCGTGAAGTTAGAAATTAATTATTTAAGTATTTTTATTTACCGAAGACAATAATAAAATGTATCACAAAATTCATTGACAAAATCAAATACAAACGCATTATACTTAAGTTGAAGCAATAGAGACTTGAAAGATTTCAAATCAATTTTTAAAAATTGATTGATCAATGATTTGTATATTATCAGATGCAAAGCTCATGGTGCCAATATCACAAAACGAAGACAATAACATTGTGTAATATAGATGCTACTTGTGAATATATATGAAGATCGAAGAACTTTTTCAAAGATATCAACATTTTATATATTCCTTGAACACGAAATGTTTTAACTCTTAATCTAACGCAATTCTCTATTTCATTACTAATACTTTTTTAGAATTTAACTTTATCAATTTAGGTTGTAAACGACACATTTATATCGTATGATCCTTTGAAATAAATTATAAAGTAATATATTGAATTTGTTTTCTAAAGAAAAAATAGTATAAAGTACATAAATCTCATATCTTTGGAGGCTAATTGCATTATATCCGAGAAATTTTCTCAATTACAAAATTTCAAATTTTTCATTCCTCTCGAATTTATTCCTTTGATTGTCTAATACATTCCAAATGACATATTACTTCGGGAAAGGGATGTATTCTAGTGGGAATAAATTTGTATTCGAGAGGAAATAGATGTATCCAAGAGGAAATAAGAATGCATCCGAGAGATGATTATAATATCTTAAGTTGTGAATTTATATAATGTTTTCAACAAAGTATGTGAAATTATATTGGGCCCGTATCACAAGCCTTAAAATATCTAGCTTCTATATAGAAGAGTGAAGTGGGAGGACGATCAAGGAAAAAAATGTAATTTCACACTAACAAAAATCTATTAAAGAAAGATAACCAATAATTCTAGAAACATCTTTAAGTGAATAATGATCAAGGGCAAAAATGTAATTTCACGCTAACAAAAGTCTATTAAGAATAATAACAAAAAAAATAGTTCTAGAAACATCTTAAGTTATTGTTATTACCATTAACTTATTTTGTTATTAACTACTTCACTTTCTTTTCTTTTGTGATTTATTGTGATATCTATCTTATTGTTACTCTATTTTACTATTATTTTAATTTAATTTTTAATATTTTTTCTATTCATTATGCTAATAGAAAATGTCTACTTTAAAGAAAATAACAAAGCCAAATGTTTGGAATGTAAAGAATCAATTACAAAAATATGAAATGAGATAAACATTTGAAAAATAAGTCAAGAAAGCACTGACAATATGACCAAACAAACTTGAAGAAAGCTCAATAGGTGAAACAAATGATAATCCTCATCCAAGACTTTATCCATATCGGTGAAGAAAATCTGGGTAAGCCATAAGATACAACTCAAGCTTTATTATATACAAGACTAAAGGAGCATTATTTATAAAGAATTTGATTCATTATTGTCACAGTAATGTTAATTGGACAAAAAATTTATGAAATTTCTTTAAAATTTACATGAAATGGACATATGAGCGCGATATTAAAAATCTCAAGTACCGATCAACCATGAAGAGGTAGAAACAGAGTAACTTAGTGCAAATTTTAACCCTCATAGATAAAGAAAAAATAATATGATATAGAAATAAAATGTGATGAAAAAGTAAATGAATTTGGAAAGTTACTAGTCTTTTGAAAAATAAGATGCAAGTCTCACCCGAAATTAGCATAAAACTTTCTCGAGTTTTGCATATTGTAGACAGAATAATTCTCATCAATTCTTTCTAGATAATGTTAACATGGATTAAACATTAACCAAGTATAATCAAAGTCATTCTATGTGTGAAAGATTCAAATTATAATATAGATATAAGAGGACTAATAATATATTATTATTTTTAATGTAGACATAT